CCCCTCAAAAATTCAACGGAATATATCGCGTGGGTGGGGCTTTGGTGGAGATCAGGACAGCAGGATTCGTAAAGGATGAAAATGCCAACACGGTGTGAAATTGAAGCGGTCTGTGAGGATATGCAAATGCAGCTTGGACCTGTTTTTCAGCCGTGTGTTCCCGGTTCACAAGTCTACGCGATGTCCTGCCGAGTCCTTGACATTTTCCGCTGGCGCCAATGTCCGACCCTAGCTCCCCCCTCCCCCCGCCATGTCCTGCGTCCCGTTCTCCGCCATTCGTCAGCATTTTAATCGCGTTTGTGCATTTGCTTGGAAAAGTCTAAAATTGAACGCAAGTGATGGCAATTTGTACGCTTCGCTGTGCCTGAGAATTTACGGTCGGTCGTGTGGCGGGAAAATTCGAAGGAAACTGGATGGGGTTGTGTCTCCCTGGGTCCTGGGTCCTGAGTCCTCAGTGCGCCGAAATTAATATGCGTCGGCCTTTTTTGGGGGAAAGCGGGGACAAACTTTTCCCGGCAAGGGATTTGCCGCTGTTGGCCATTTTCGAGTTTTTTCTTCCTTCCTTGAATCCCCTCTTTACCGCTCCCAAGGATGCTGGGATGCCGGCAGCTTGGCTCGTGATTAATGTGGCAAATGCGCAGTTATAAATTATTTATTACTATTCTTCGCATTGTTTCCTGAGGCGTGTGCGAATTGGTAAGACATTTAAGCCATATTTTCAAGTGCCACAAAAGGCCAGAAATCTACGTGATACTTTGCGTTTAATATTCAAGCCACGAAAAACGGACGTTTGGTTAACACAATAATGTCTTGTAATATATTGAGAGTGTTGAGAGAAGATTTTAGGAAAAAGCCTTTGGGAATTACAAACTGAATAAATTGAAGGCAATCGAAAAACCCTTTGGCACTTTGCTAAAGGTTAAGGGTATTTTTGATTATTTTAAATCTGAAGAGAATGTCAAGTGTGGCATTAGAAATGCTTTTTGGAATTTAAATAACTTTTTCAAATAAGAACATTTTGTTATTTCACACTCTCTCCTGTGAAGACTGTGCTTCCTTTCCTCAAATCTTAATTCACAATGAAAACATTTAACAAATTAAACGAACAAGCCCGGCTAATACGTGTTTCCCCTGCAGCACCTTTTCCGAAATGTCATTCGTTTGTCTATTATTTTGGTTCCTTCCTCTCCGTTGGCGTTTTTAATTCTATTTTTCTATTGGGGAAAAGTTTTGTTCACTGGCTGATCTCAATGGCTTGACAGTGTCAGGCTATAGAAATTTATTTCACATGCACTTTTTAAATCGAACGAAAATAGATTCCTTCCGCCATATTGAGGCGTGGTGAAGAACAGAGGGGCTGCGACGAAGTTGAGTTGGCCTGATGTCGTATATTGGTGGAAAAAGCAATTGAAAACTTCATCATGGTTACAACAATATTTTTACAGCGAAATTGGCACAAAAATGTTGTCCACGAACTTTTTTTTTTTTTTTGCGCAAAAGCGTTAGAAAAACTGGGCTATCGAGGGGGGAAATCTGTGGTGTGTGGGGGAGGGGGGTTTGGGAAACTTTTGTGCCAGTTACCGACCACGCCCACGTCAACCCATGGCATCAACGCCCTGTCACGAATAAAAACTAATTGATAACATTTTTCAGCTTGTTCTGGTTTTTTCGGCGACTTTTTTCGGTACTATTTTTTATTATTTTTGTTTGCAAGTTGGAACTTTCCTAGACTCTCTTCGACCATTGTTGTTGTTTTTTTTAAGAGGGGGTTTTTTATGTGACGCCTCTGTCCGGGGCAATTTGTAATCTAAACAACATGGCCCGGGCTAACCAAGGCCCCCAAAACTCTGGCCAGAATATCCTTAAATCCTGGCGCAAGGAGAGCGCTGGAAAACTGACAGCCAGCAAATGACTAAAGACGCCGGTGGCTGTGCGGGGACGTGGAGGGGGGTTGTGTATGTAAAAATGTCGATTTAATATTAGCACCATGAAGGGAAATCAAAGTGGAATAAGAACAAAGTAGAGGGTATTGGGAGGTTGCGAGAAAATATAGAAATATGAGAGGGTTTGGGGAATTCCTAGTAAGACAACAATTGATATAACAAGTGCTATATTTATTCATATGTTAACAGAATTTATGTATATTTAATTATTAAATATATTCATTTATTCAGTAGCTTGTTTTTAGTATTTAAAAGAAAAAGCCAGCTTAGAAATATAAAATCTAACAACAATCATAAGTAGAGTCATAACATTTGCATATTTTAAAAACTCCCACAAACCTCTCTCATTTCTCGTTATCAAATATTTCCGATACTTTTGACAGAAAACCAATATACCCTTGGTGGTGTAAAATGTAATGGGTGCATAAATGGCTGCAAGCAATAAAGAAAATGGCGGCTGACAACAGCTTCAGGTTTGGCTGGTTCTTTTTTCCTTTTTGGCCAGGATGTGGCAGCTTGTTGATGATAAACTCTTATGACCCACATTGGGTGGGGGGAATTGGGGTATATGGGGTCATGGAAAGTGGGCAAGTTGCCAACACACACACTAGCATGTATGCCTCCCCATACCCCCTCTCCCCACACAGCTGCATCCGGCGGAAGTTGGTGGCAACACTTGGAAACCTCTCACACGGATGGAGCCACACGGGCGAGCGAACACAACACACTCACACACACACTCTCAAGTTAGTTATAAACGTTTATCGATATTATATCTATTCGCTGCTCTCACACTCACACACTCACACAGAGAGTCCTGGCAAAGTTTTCGGGGGCTGCAGACAATGAAATGCAAACAAATCACATCGCGAAAACTTCACAACATGGCGGCAAAGAATGTCGATTTATGGGTGCCAAGTGGAAATATTATCAAAACTATGACTTTGCTGGCCACTTTTCACCGGGATTTCAGAGAGAGAGAGAGGTGAAAGGAGCAAGGATATTGCCCGCAGGATGCAGCCAGCAAATGCGCTTGTTTATTGGCTGAGCTTCTGGTTGCCAAGGAAGTGAGCAAAATAAAGCTGCATGGGGTGCTGCTCTTCAAATTTAGATAAGGAGAAACTTAAGGAGGTCCTGACACTTCTTTTTAGAAGAATAAATAACAAGGAAGTAAGAGAGCTCTAGAAGGTAAATAGTTATATTATAATCCCTTTTAAAATTTTAATTAAACTCCCTTTTCTGTACCTGGAAACGAGGTCACTTAACACACCTGGTCTTTGGGTCATAAATATCCATCAATCGCGATCATATGAGATATATAATATTTTTTTGCGAAATCTTTTATCATTTATGGTAGGCATAACAGTCCGTGAAAACTGAAAATACATTTCTCACATAATTTGCAGGTTCGCAGACGGTGCAGCCCAACAAATAATACTAAAAATTTATCATGTGACCGACCTCCTCCTGCTCTTTGGTGAAGAGTGCACAAAAAATAAATAGAGGCAGTGGAGGTGGAGTGCTCACGTAAGAGAGGTATTGCATGATGAATGACAATTTTCAGCCGATTTACATGGCAGGAAGGCAATGCGATGAGTCCTTTTCCACACTCTCTCATTTTCTCGCATAGTAACATTTGCACAGAACTCGGCCGGGCCTGAATTCCTTGCATTTTTCCCTCGTGTTGCAAATGGCGATAACAGGCGGAGCAAAATGGACAATTCGCATACAAAATGGTCGTTCACAATAAATTATTCGGACCGCATAACAACAAAACAAGGAATATACATATTCTGTAAGGGACACAGAACAGCAGCAAAATGGGTGCTTGTGGATGTGTTAAAAAAGTTCACTAGAAAAAGTCATTCTGGACTTTGTGTTGCATCCCAAAACAAGTATTTTTTTCCTTCATAGCTTTGCTTTAAAGTTTTAAGTTGCGATATAAAATATCAATAAATAATTATTCAAGGAATGCGAATATTTTAAACATAGTCATGAATGATAGATAGTTTCATTTCTTGCATTATGTTAAAATATTATTATGATTTTATTCAAAAAGTCAAGGAAAAATACCTTCTGAAAAGTGGCAACACTGCGTATGAGTAATATTATTTTTAAATAAAAAAGCTTTCAAATATTAAATAAAATGTATAAAAATACTTGATTGAGGATTTTATAAATCAATACACTATCAATAACATATTTCTTCAAGCAACCGAAATCCATTCTAGGAAATGACAACACTGCGTATGAGTAATATTATTTTTCAAATAAAAAAAGCTTACTAATATTAAATAATATATTTGTAAATAATTGATATGGGGATTTTATAAGTCAATAAATTACAAATAAAATATTTGTTATCAAGCAAACAAAATCCTTTCTAAGAAATGACAACATTGCGTATGAGTAATTATATTTAATCCTTGTAAGCTTATTTTTATTTAAACATAAATATTAAACATAAAAAATAAGCTTACAAGGATTAAATATAATTTATATAGATACTTTAGATTGGGATTTTATAAATTAATAAATTATTAATAACATATTTTTCTTCAGCCAAACGAAGTACTTTCTGAGAAATGCCAACACTGCGTATGAGTAATATTCCTTAAAAAACCTTACAGTAGGTTAGCACAATGTCCCTGCATCTGTTATTTGAAATGCAAATATTAACTATCTTTTGATGTTAGTTTCGTTTCTTGTTTAATTTGTGATATTTTCTGCTAGTTTAATGCTTGCTTTAGAGGTTTAACTTGATCTATTTTCTGCTATTTAAATGCATACTTTAGTTGCTATGGTTTTATGGCTTATTACTATACTTTTAGCCAAAAATTCAATAATGCACTGAACATCACTTATATCCTTACAAAGCAGGTATCATAATTTTTAAGAACTGCCAGGCTACATAAAAAATGATGACCCACTTCCAAATCATCGACAACACGAAATTCAGTACGTAAAGTGTCACGAAAGTACGTTTTTTTTTGCTATATATTTTTATGGTTAGTTTTGACTTAAGGAATTTAATAACTGAATAAATGGGGCACTTACCAGCCAGCACTGAGGTGGAGTTGTGACGGGGATCATAGGGGCAGACAGCCTGGCCATTCTTGGTGGCCTCCAGGGTGTAGTTGCTTTCGCTGATGAGGTACGTGTTGCACATGGGCCGGAAGGAGTTGGTGCCACAAACGAAGAGGCGACCCGGCGATGGCACCACCATGATGCGAATATAGTTCTGGCAGGCCTCCTGAAAGGGGATTAAAGGAAAGAGTTGAGTAAATTATGTATATTTTCACATATCGAAAGTATTAAATAATATTTTATCTTTTCAACTGAAAATTCCACAGCAGAATCAAAGTTTATTCAGTCTGTTTAGTACTCTTTGTTGACCTCCGGGTAAAGAGGTCAAAGTCTATGCTCCGACTATCTGTTTTGCATAAATGTTCACCAATTGAAATATTTAGTGCTTGTTGTTCAAAAAACAAACAACGAATGTGTTCGACTGCATGCAGATGGTGGAATTTTTGCGTGTGTTCTGGTTTCTGATTCCTGCATCCTGGGGCTCTCTCTGTGTGCACCTGTGCGCAACCCAATAAATATTAAAAGGCAAATGCGCAACTTGCTACCCATTTAGTGGAACGGCGGTAACTTTTCCCATAGTGGCGGAAAATTGTTGCATGACATTTCCGGCGTACTTCGCCCCCCATCCCCCGCACTGTGTCACAATTACGGCCGGAAGTGTTTGCACTCTGACATGACAAATCATTAGAAATATTCCTGCAAGCATTTTCATTCCTGTATTTAAATATTATACATTTTTGTTATTGTGCAACTAATTGGCACAGCTTTACACAGGATTTTAAGTTGGTCTTTAAATAGTTTAAAGTTTCTCCGAAATATTTGTATATTTATAGGCAATTATTTGAGTCACATAATTGGAATATTTAGCTTTAAGCCAAGTTCGTCTTCTAATTGTGTTCTGGCTGTCTTGTATTTAATTTAGTTTATTGCCCTGAAATATTTAACATGTTCCCTGACCCTGTTTTGTGCGGCCAACTGTTTGAGCGTAAATTTAAACGAATTAACAAAACAATTACATGAAACTGGGATGGGGGTTGGTTGTAAAGTTGTAGTTTTCATTATTTCTCTGGTAATTAACACGCACAGCAGACGTCCGAACACAAACAGACATTGTTTAGAATGCAATTAACTGTGAAATTTATTAATTTGCTGTTGAAATATAGCGGCTGTTATTTGTGTTTTGCTGTTTGTTAATAAATATTATTTTATTTTATTTGATTTTATTTTATTTTTTGTTGCTTTTAGTTGGCGCCAAAACTTTTGATTCTCATCCCAACCATTTAGATTTAATATGCTTTTTATTTAGTTTATATGAAAGCTGGAATGTTGTATGAAAATAATTTGGCTAATATTAATTGAGCGCAAATATTTAAATGTGAAAAGCGTATGTGGATGTAGAATGTAATCTCATATTTGCCTTGTGGCTGTAATTAATATTTAATTTAGAAACAAGGCAAGAGATCGACTTCAAATACCCGGTAATCGTTTAATAAAATGAATTGATAACAATAAATATTGATTTATAATATTTAACATGTATTATCGCCTGACAAAGTATCCATAAATTAAATAATTTGTATAATTTAGTAAGATTTTAGTGGTGTATTAAATACAGAACTTATAAGATTTTAGCTACCTATCTCCTACTGACACCTATAATTACATAAAGCTCTTCAAACTCACAGAATTAAATGTCCAAATAGCAATTTATTATTTTTTCATTGCTTGTACCCATATATTTAAACTTAAGTCACAGCTGCAAATCCTTAAAAACTTTCATGTTGAATGTCTCATTTTCAGAACCTTTTCTCCCTTCGAACGGCGGGTATAATTATCAAGTAAAGCGGGCTTTTCGTGTCCCGTCCTCTAGGACTTCATTGCTCTATGGGCGTGTCGTGTTTGTGTATCATTAACGAAATTGTTGCCTACCTGCAGGCGCTTTGGCAGCAGTCAAAAATATATTTCCAGAGACTTTCTGCAAGGAAGTTTCCCGCCTCCCCCCAGCTGACAATGAACTTTTCCATGGCCCTGGGATTGTAACTTCGTCTGACTTGGCCATGTTATGTATATATACTATTTTAAGCAGTCCTACAATTATTTGTATTTACTTCGTTTCAATTTCTTAAAGTATCAACTTTAATCGATATTCCGTTTAATGATTATTTCGAGTTGACTGGCATGTCCTGTGATTGGAAACGAGCAAGGAGACGGCACCGCAGCATCTCGAACAAGTCCGATAAATGAGTTGTGTGAATTGAGGTTTGATGAAACGAAGGATGCCAACAACACAATGCTGTGTGTGCATGTCCTGGCAGACAAAAGAAGAGGCCAAAGTTTCGCCAAAAACCCAGCATAAATTCACCGGCATTTTCCCCAATCGAACTACCGACCGGACTCTTCAGAAGGCATTGCTCTTTTCAGTCTTCGAATTGCACCTCTAGGGTTCTAGGGGAAAATGCTGCAAACGAAGCGATTTGCAAACCAAATCGAATGTTTAATGAGGAAACAAGAAAACGTAGGCGATGCTTTGTGGTCAATCCCAGAAAATGGACGATTAAGCCTCCGATCGGTATATGGATGTAATGAGGATAATAACCGTCTTGGTAACAACAGAGAAGAACTTTGGCTTTGTGAAACGGAAGCCTCACTTCCTCCCTGACTTTCACATATACCGAACTTGTTACTTAATATCCTTTATTAAATTGAAGATTTATAATGATTATTTGACTTATTTGGTCTGGTTATTTCCTGTGAAATATCCCTAAAGCTCAATTCACTCGGCACCTTGAACAGAAAAATATTTATCTTTCATTTTGTGCCAGGACACCCTTTGCATTTTTTATAAATCACCCATTGCCAGGTGAACGCATATATATATATATTGGCTGCTCATTTTGACCATCAACTCGAGGGACTGGACCGGTGTTTACGTAGTTTTAATAAAAAATAGCCAGAGAAAAATCAATTAATTAAACATTTAACACCCAGCTGGCGGTGAACTGTTAAAGTCAAATGGAAAAAAAATTACAAAAAAGGAGCAAACATGACTTTGGCAGGAATCTGATTTTGACTTAGATTCCTGCATTTTTAATTTTATTGTGTTTTTCTGATTGCAGTTCTGCCTGATTTGCTTGATTTTGACGTATTCCATTCATTAGTGCAATGCTAGTTAATTAAATTGTATTTGATTTTCTTTTTGCGTTTCTATTTTCGTAGCCAAAGAAATGCAATTTAGTTTTTGGGGAAATGGCAATCCTGCACGCCATCCCTGAAAATCTAAAGAAACTTTAATTTCGTTGCTGATGCCATAAATAACTGACTCCCTCTCTCCTTGGCTCAGGTGAAGGCAAATTGAGTTCAACAAATTACACCTGCTAATGCTCTGGGTTCGCCTTAGCCTTACCTTTTGTTCACTCTGCCACTGAGAGTTCCCTAGCTGGCTTTACAATTGCCAAGGCACGCTGTTGGCCAACAAGTGTTGGCTAATTACGTGAGCAAAAAGCAAACTTGAAGTGCACTTGGGCATGCAGAAAAAATAAAGGCAAAGAACTGGCGGAAGTGTTGGAGGGAAATCCTCTTTTTGGCTTCAATTGACCTCAAGTTTTAGGATTAATATAAGAGAATAAATTACTAGCCTCTTTTTTGTATTAAAAAATCTAATTTCATTTTTGTTGAAGAAAATAAATCGATTTCTGTTTAATCTTTTTATAATTCTTAGCATCCAAAGTTTTATTTTAAGCTAAATGTTAACCTTAAGCATTATTTTTTTTTGAGAAAATAGTACAAGTATGTAGTTAAACAATTAAAATCACATTTTAAAGTCCACAAAACTTGCTTTTCCATTAGTAAAAGTTTGCTTTAGGTTTCCTGTTCCTTTGGCCTACCTTCCCTAAGGACATTTACTGCCTCCTGCCTCCTGCCTTCTCAACCAGCAATCACTTTCTTAATAGGTCAACACAGCAGTGGTAAAGAGGGGTTTTCAATAAATTTTGCTGACTTCTTAGCCACAAAGGAGTGGAGGCAAAACAACAACGGCCAGGACAGAGCAACAGAAAAAGTTGCATAAATCAATTTCTTCTTGTCTTGCCTTGGCCATAGTTTTCCATGTTTTTTAGCGCGAAAAAAAAGAAAACGCTAAGATAGATGGCGGCAGGGAAAGGGAGACGAAGAAAACACTTTATTTAGAGCTTGTTCTTGCTGGGAAAACGGAAGCAGCAGCCAAAGTTGAAATCGAAATGGAAATGGGAATGGAAATTGCAAGGCCATCGGGTCCAAAAGTGCTAAAAAGTTTATATAAAGCAGCAGAGAGAACAACAACAAAAGCATTGACAAAAATTTGTATATTTTAACTGCTAACTAACACGAAAAATTTTATTTCTCAGGGAAAAAGGAAATTGTCTTTTGCTTGGCTTTCATTCGATTTTATATTGAAGGTAAAATGAACTTGGAATCATCAAAATGTGTATTAAAGAATTAAGGTTTTGGATTTTAAGGGGAATATTATTATGAGAAAATACTCTAAAAACGGTTTAAATAATATGTATTTGACTCACCTCATCCTTCCCTTGACGAGACACATTTTGGTGTCATCCTCTGGCGATGTCCAGACCAAACGCTGCTGCTCAGTGAGATCGTGTATGCTTAAATTAAAAACCGTATTTCTGCAAAGAGACAAAAAGGACACAAAAGACATGCGATAAGAAGGAGTCCCATACATTGTAAGAATGGGGAAATGTAACCCACAGATAGAATTTGTGCGGTTTTCGTTTTATCAACCTTATCAGAGAGAGAGAGCTGGGTGAAGGGGTCAGCTTGTGGCTGCTGAGAATTAATTAAAAAATTAATTAAAATTCATTTGGCCTTTTTACGGTCTGGCAATCAACACGCAGGACGAGGTCCTCCAAGCAAGGACCACAAAAAGGCCTCTGCTCTATGTTTTGCTTGCCTTTTAACCCTTCACCTTCCTTTGCTCTTTCTCTCCCTCTCTTACTTCAATGCGATATTTGTGCAGAAATTCCAAAATTCTCGTTGATAAAATTTGCACACTCACATGTGGTGCCCAACCTCCTCTTTTGTGTGTGCAGTGCGAGAGGCGACGCGGGGGTAAATTTCATAAAATCAACTCATTGATTATTGAAACCACAACTACGTGAGTGTGGGTGTGTGTGTATGAGTGTGTGTGAGTGCGGTTAGTGCACCTTTGTGTGTGATGCACTCTGGTCGGGCATTTTATGGCTGCCAAGCCATGTCAGGAAATCAGCCATCACCGCATTCGAGCGACCCGAAAAGCCTGCATCCGAATAACACGACAAGCCTTATCGAAACTTTTGAATTTTATTTTGATTTTTTCCATTTATTGTTTGGAATCAGCCAAAAAGAGTGGAAAATTTTAAATAAATATATAGATATGGTGGAAAACAGAGATAGATAGGTTCTATGGCATTTTGTGAGGTTTGCATAACAGATTGGAGAATTATGTGAAACCTTTGATTTGTCCTAGCAAATATATATTAAATATTATAAATATAAATATATATTTAATTAAATATAAATACACTTTACGTTTAATTAGAAAAGTTGCTAAGTCCTATTATCCAGTCCACTGACCAACTGTGATTTTAAATGGGTTAAAGGATACCCCCCTTGCTGTACAGGACACACTTCCATTGTTTGGCAATTAAGCAACGCGTTTTAATTATGGAAAGGCAAAGGCGGCAACTTCAAACGAACATGCACCATCAGCAACATCATGACGGCCACATAGCAACGTTACAAAGTTGCTGCAGCTGCACTCTTCCGTTGCATCTGCTGTCACCGCCTCCTGTTGCCAGGACAAGTACATACTCACATATACACGTGTATATATATATAAAGCCCGATATACGCGTACACCCAAGTACATATAAAATGTCCTGAACCAAATTAGCATATATAGAGGGGACAGAGAGGGAGAGTCAGGTGGTAAGGGTCCTGAAATGGGTCGGGCCAGGACCAGAAAGCCAGGTGGCAGTGCCAATGGGTTGATCGAACTGTGCAAGTAATGCCACCGGAAGTTAAATACTGAATACGCTACTTAAATAAGATTAATTTAGGGGATTAACATATAAAAGTATATGTTTTCGTTTTTAAACAAAGCAAGTGATAGAGTACTACTTTTTAATGACTGATTAAACTTAACATATTTGCTTGAAACAGCTGGTGAAAAAAATATATATATCCTTATAGACCTTTAACCTTTTAAGACCTATTTTTACTTACTGATTAATCTTAATGTTTTATTTGCTATTAAGAACACCTTGTCGGTGAATTTGAACTCAGGAATTACAGCCAAGGAACCTCATAAGTACTCCTTCTATATTCTTAAGGGTATTTTTATTTAAGTTGAAGCTTAAAAATATGAAGAGACATTCCGACCATATTCTTGATATATATTATTGATCAGCATTAAGAGGCGAATCGATCTGGCTATGTCCGGTTGAAAAAAATTTTTTTTAAATTTTTTTAAATTTTTGAAAAAAGATAATGGTACAGTTAATTTTCAAAAATTGTCGAAAATTTTACATTTTAAATTGGGTATGCAGATTTATTAGCCTAAAAAAACTAGCACAGGAAAGCTTTCCGAATCGAATTTTATTTTTTTTTGTTTTTTTTTTTCTTGTTTTTTTAAATTTAACCTTGCCTTTTTAACAGCTTGTTCTGGAATTTGTACTTGAGAATCTTAAGTTTAATTCTTTTAAATTCTTAACCTTTAAAATGCACCTCAGGTATTTTTTAGAGTCCCCACAAAAAGAGTGTAGAAATTTCCTAATGTTGCACTTGTGGAAATCTGTTGTTTCCTTTTCTTATTATTTTTTTAGTAAGTCGTTGCTATCGCAGTTACTGGCTTTCAAAGTACACAAATACATATAAACACTTTAGCGCATTGCCTAACACACACATATAGGCCAGGCACAAGCGTTTGTGAAAATGTCGCGGAAAATGGCAAAGGAAAACTCTATGGCAGACAGGGGGAAGCAAGGAAACAGGATGGTTGAGCATTTTAAAGAACGCATTTGGCGTGAAAACCGAGCTCATAAATATTTTCCACACGGCGAAGTGCGTTAGTGTTGCAGTGTTTGCCCCAGTTGTTGTTGTTGTTGTTGCAAGTGCTGAACGCAACGATTACGAAGGATTTCCCACCGCTTTTCCACCGTGTTGTGTGTGTGAGAGAGAGTGTGTATGGTGTCGTTGGCTCCTGCTGCTGCAGTTGCACATTTAGCAACAATCCTTGTTGTTGCCACTGCTGCTTTGCAGTTTATTATTATGCAGCTTAAACGCAGTTGGCAAATATAAAGGGGAATGTGTGCGAACTTCCTCTATGAAAACGTTTACATTTAGTCGCATGAAACGGTGATGATAATGAGGCTACACCAGGTCCCCCAGCAAAACATCTAAATATTTGTGTATTTTGTACTCAATTTGGTTGAATATTCGAATTTTATGGAACTAGAAAAGACTAGATTTAATCTAGATCAAGTTTTTTAAATAATTTAATAACGATTTGATCAGCTTAAATCGAATTTGCAAACTGAATTCTATATATATTTCTATGCCATAAATTCCATATATGGCATATAAAAATTAACTTTTTATTAAATTTCCATTTAATTTTGTATTTAGCCGCAAAACAAGAGTATTTTCCATACATTTATTAATTGCATAAAAGTAAAAACTTATCCAAGATAATTGTTTCTATCGCTTGTGAAGTCCCATTAAAATATTTTCCAATTATTATTTTTAACTAGAACATGAGATAAATACAAAAGCAATGTGTGTGTGTGATAACTAGCAAATCAGGCGAAATAGCATTTTGCGGAGAGAGCATTTTGATGGCAACGCCATGGTTTCAAATATTTGCGGTTTGTGTAGATGCCCATGGAGCCCCAAAATAATTCGTGGTTTGAACCGAAATGAGCACAGTTTCGCATCAATATATTTTAGGTAAATACTTAGTATATACAAAAGGATTATGCAATATATACATGTACAAGAAAATATAATTAAAGTTTGCTTTTGGAAGCCTTTAAATATCACAAAGCAGTGACAAACTCTCAACAAGTTTTATTTAAATACCAAAAATAGCACAAAAACAGCAGGCATTTGGACATTTATTTGTGGAAAATAAAATTTAAATTCGTTTAAATCCGTTCTGTGATGCCCATCATCTTTAACCAACCGACAAACAAATCAACCATCCGCCACGTTGGCAGCCATCAAACAGCAATAATAACAACGACAGCCAGCAGGAAAACAAAACCCGCAGGCATCACAGGCATCGGGACCCTTTTCAAATATCATTTGAGCGAAAAGAGGCAAAAACGAAACAAAAGCCGCATGCACATAAATAATGGCATTGCGGTTGAGAAGCCCTCACAAATCCCCGCCAAAGTGGGTGGTGTATATGTATACATATACATCCTCCAAAACCCTCTCCTGCTCTCCTTCTCCTCTTGGGTTCGTCATAAAATAGATTGGAGGAACCTCTAACGAGGCAAGACTGGGGCCAAGAAGGAAAACTCGTGTCGCCATCGCTACCGCCGCCATTTCTGTGGTTTGACCCACAAAAAGTATCCCTAAAAGAGAGCCCGAAACAACAACCCAAGTCTAGACCCAAAGTGAAAAGAAACACAAATGTATTACAGAACAAATAAAGAAAGATGAAGAGAAAAGAAAAATTTGCAAATTACTCATACGCAGTGTGGCCAATTGGCATGACCTTGGCTTCAGAGTCTCTTTTGTATTATGAATAAGATCATTTCAATGATTGATTTGCAAGGAAAATTGGGCAGGTGACATGTAAATATTATGGAATTATGAAAATATCATAGAAAATTATGTTTTGGGAAAATTACTGGTAATAATGTTAGGTATTGAAGTATATTATACGTATACTTGATATTTAGCTTTCAATATAGTAATTTATAAGATTTCACTTGTACTTAATATATTTAGAAAAGAAATCCTTAACAGTTTCTCTATTCTTTTAGGCATTTCATCTTGATAAAACCCATTTGAAGCACTCACATCAGAATTGATCCTTTCCCAATATCAATTTCTTGTATTCATAACGTCGTTGTTCTTTGGCCAATTGAGATGGCAAATTTGCCGGACTATAGTCATCATGCCGGTGAAAAATGCCAGTTGCAACCGTTCAATGTCACACGTCATCAGCGTACCAAAGAGGAATGCCCCAAAGGCAATCAGGGAAAAGAACACTCGACTTCCGGAATGCATTGATGCATTGATGCGATGATGACGAGGTGCTGCAACGTCTGAGGGGAAAGGCTGACATGACGGTAAATGGCTTTTCTGAATAGCTAAGCAAATCAGGCGAACTCTAGCTTCAGCTCGAATCTCCTCATGTTGCCCAGCTTTCGAGACTTTCGGAGGGAAAATTTATGTTGTCGCCGCCATTTGCATGCGCTCTGTGTCTCCTTCCGCCATTTTGCCAACTCATGTGGGTGTGCGTCCAGTGTGTGTGTGTGTGTGTGTGTGTGTGTGAAATGGCAGCCATTGCAAAAAATTATTGAAGCGGAGCAGCAGGGGGAGAGAGGGGATATATCCTGCACTCACCCAACACATCCATCACTATTTCGAGTTGAGCTTTTGTCATTTTTCATTG